TTAAGTTAGGGGAAGATTTTTTTGTTGTTGTTGTTCATGATTATCTCTCTGAAAGTGAGTGAAGTCACTCAATCATGTCCGAATCTTTGTGACCCCATGGACTATAGCCTCTCAGGCTTCTCCATTGATGGGATCTTCTAGGCAAGAATACTGGAGTGGGATGCCATTTCCTTCTTGAGGAGGTCTTCCTGACCCAGGGTTCAAACTTGGGCCTCCCACATTGCAGGTAGACTCTTTACCATTTGAGCCTCCAGGGAATACCTATATTAAAGCTTCAGCTCTTCCATTTATGAAATATCTACCATATGAAATATCAAGAATTAAATGAGATAATACAAAGTTCATTATATACCATATATACCATTATATACCATATATACTGCCTTGGTAATTCACATGCAACTTATATGGTCACTTCAGCTATGATTAGTTGTTGTATCTTTATGTTTTTTTATTTATCTGCTTGCTTTCCTTTCTGAAAGCTATTTTTAATTAATATATTGAAAAGTGAGGATTTTGATTAGTATTAATAAGTAATCAATTATATTTGGTAGAATATAATGGTATATAATGAACTTTGTATTATCTTATGCAATTCTTTATATTTCATGTTGTAGATATTTCATAAATGGAAGAGCTGAAGCTTTAATATAGGTACTCTCTGGTGGCTCAAATGGTAAAGTGTCTACCTGCAATGTGGGAGATCCAAGCTCAAACCTTGGGTCGGGAAGATCTCAGGAATGGAGGAGCTTGGGGGGTTTATAGTCAATGGGATCACAAAGAATCAGACATGATTGAGTGACTTCATGCACTTTCAGAGCTAGTCATGAACAATAACAGCAAAATCTTCCCCAAACTTAAAAAAAATTATATTCATAATGTATATGTTTATTACTTTTAGGTAAAATATTTAATGAAAGTTACATCCTCTGGGAGTAGTTTAACTTTATATCTCTCTCTACCCAACTTTTATGGATCTATTTGAAAACCTCTTTGTGTTGCATTCAGCTCAGCAGTGTTTATACCTTTCCTGAATAACATTTTATTTGTTGAACAAGGGAAGATCTACATTTGGGGGTAGTAGTTGAAGCATTTTATATTTTATTCTTGGAACTAAGCTGTGACAAGTGAATCTATGACTTGTCACTTATCTCAATTTTCATCACTGAGCACACAATAAATGCATAAAAAGGTATGATGTCATAGGTATGATTGTATTTATGATATCTCCCTTCAGCAATTTGAGTTCCAGGTAAGTAGTCTTGTTTTTCCTAAGAAAAAAAAAATTGCCCTATTAACATCCTCAAAATACCAGATTAACCAGAAGAATCAGAAAATCAGTTGATAGATGCTTCACTTAAAATTTTTCAATCATACCATACACAAAGATAAACTCAAATTGGATTAAAGATCTAAATGTAAGACCAGAAACTGTAAAACTCTCAGAGGAAAACATAAGCAGAACCCTCCGTGACATAAATCACAGCAAGATCCCCTATGACCACCTTCTAGAGTATCAAAAGTAGAAACAAAAATAAACAAGTGGGACCTAACTAAACTTAAGAGTTTTTGCACAGGAAGGGAAACTATAAACAAGGTTCAAAGATAACCCTCAGGATAGGAGAAAATGATAGCAAATGATAGCAATGAAGGATTAATTTCCAAAATATACAAGCAGTTCATGCAACTCAATATCAAAAGGTAGGCAGAAGAATTAAACAAACATTTCTCCAAAGAAGACATACAGTTGACTAATAAGTACATGAAAAGATGCTCAACATCGCTCATTATTATAGAATGCAAATGAAAACTATAATGAGATATCACTTCATATCGGTCAGAATGGCCATCATCAAAAAAATCTACAAACAATAAATGCTGGAGAGGGTGTGGAGAAAAGGGGACCACAGAAGAATTTCTGATACTTCAGTTATTCTAGTATTCTTGAACTGTTGTTGAGAATGCAAATTGCTACAAGCACTATGGGGGACAGTATGGAGATTCCCTAAAATACTAGGACTTAAACTACCACAAGACCCAACAATCCCACTACTGGGCATGCACCCTGAGAAAACTGTAACTGAAAAAGTCACATGTACCCCAATTATCATTGTAGCACTATTCACAATAATTAGGACATGGAAGCAACTTAGATGTTCATCAACAGATGGATGTATAAAGAAGCTGTGGTATGTATACACAATGGGATATTACTCAGCCATAAAAAGGACTGAGCTTGAGTCGATTATAATGAGGTAGATGGACCTAGAGACTATTATACAGAGGGAAGTAAGTCAGAAAGATAAAACAGATATATGTTAATGCATATATATGGAATCTAGGAAGATGGTACTGATGAAGCTATTTGCAAGGCAGAATGGAGATACAGACATAGATAACAGATTTTTGGACAAACGGGGGGAAGGAAAGTGTGTAATGAATGGAGACAGTAGTGTGGAAACATATATGCTACAATATGCAAAATAGAATAACCATTGGGAATTTGCTACATGACTAAGGGAGCTCAAACTGGTGCTATGTGACAATCTAAAGGAGTGGGATGAGGTGGGAGGTAGGAGGGAGGTTCAAGAGGGAGGGGACATATGTATACTTATGGCTGATTCATGTTGATGTATGGCAGAAACCAACACAATATTGTAAAGCAATTATCCTTCAATTAAAAATAAATTAATTTTTAAAATTTCAATCAAAAAGAAGTTTCTAGTATCCAAATGTTTAGTGTAATTGATAGATAATCAATAAAAAAAAGTCAACAAAGGAGAAACTCACTGGTTCTAAAGAAAATTTGAAGTGGAGATCCTTCGGAGACCTTTCCTCTCTTTTAGTAAAGTTCTCCCTCATGATTGTTATTATTCTTGTTCAGTCACAAGTTTTGTCCAGCTCTTTGAGACAGTGGACTTCTGCATGCCAGACTCCTCTGTCCACCACTACCTCTTGCAGATTGCTTAAGTTCATGTCCCTTGAGTCACTGATATTACTTAACCATCTCATCCTCCATTTCCCCCTTCTCCTCCTGCCCTCAATCTTTCCCAGCATCAGGGTCTTTTCCAGTGAGTCACTTCCTCACATCAGGCGGCCAGAGTATTGTAGTTTCAGCTTCAGCAACAGTGCTTTCAATGAATACTCAAGGTTGATTTCCTTTAGGATTGACTGATTTGATCTTGAGTTCAAGGGACTCTTAAGAGTCTTCTCCAGCACCACAGTTTGAAAGCATCAATTCTTCAGCATTCAGCCTTCTTTATGGTCCAACTCTCACATAACACATGACTACTGGAAAAAAGATGGCTTTGACTATATGGACATTTGCTGACAAAGTGATGTCTCTGCTTTTCAATATGCTGTCGAGGTTTGTCATAGCTTTCTTTCCAACAAGCAAGTGTTTTTTTTTGTTTGTTTGTTTTTTGTTTTTTAATTTCATGGCTAAAGTCACCATCTGCAGTGATTTTGAAGCCCAAGAAATAAAATCTGTCTCCATTTCCACTATTTCCCCTTCTATTTGATATGAAGTGATGTGACTGGATACCATGATTTTAGTTTTTTGAATGTTGAGATTCAAGCCAGCTTTTTCACTCTCCTCTTTCACCCTCATGAAGAGGTTCTTTAGTTCCTCTTTGCTTTCTGCCATTAGAGAGGTTTCATCTGAATATCTGAGGTTGTTGATATTTCTCCCAGCAATCTTAATTCCAGTTTGTGATTCCTCCAGGTAGATATTTCACATGATCTACTCTGCATGTAAGTTAAATAAGAAGAGTGGCAATATATATCCTTGTCTTACTCTGTGCCCAGTTTTGAACCAATCATTTGTTCCATGTCCAGTACTAACTGGTGCTTCTTGATATGCATACAGGTTTCTCAGGAGACAGGTAAGGTGGTCTGACACTCCATCTCTTTAAGAATTTTCCACAGTTTGTTGTGATCCACACTAAGGCTTTAGTATAGTCAATCACAGACATTTTTCTGGGAATTTAGGTCCCAAGATGGCAGAGAAATAAGACTGGGAGACCCCTTTCTCTCCCACCAATTTATCAAAAGATCATCTGAGTGCTGAGCAACTTCCACAAAACAACTTCTGAACCCTGATGGAGGACACCACACATCCAGAAAGCCAGCCCATTCTCTTCAAAAGGAGGTAGAACAAAATATAAAAGACAAAAAGAGAGACAGAAGAGTTAGGGACAGAGACCCATTCTGGAGAAGGAGTGGGGAAGGAGGAGAAGTTTCCAAGCATCAGGAAACCCTCTCACTGGCAGGTCTGTGGGGAGTTTTGGAATCTCAGAGGGCAACATAACTGGGAGAAAATAAAAAGCAATACCCCAGAGAAAATGCACCTAACCACAACTCCCAGAGAAGTAGCCCAGACACTCTTGTCCGCCACCAGTGAGCAGGAAATGGACAGGGAGGCATTGGTCACATGCTTAGGGTAAGGACAAGGCCTGAATGCCCTGAGGACAGTCTGAGGGTGCTAATGTGAGATAGGAACCCAAACTGTGGGATAGCCAGAGGGAAAAAAAAAAGTGAGAGAGAGAACTTTCTTGTAAAAGGCTCTAACCTAACTCACAGTCTGGCCTGCCCACAGAACAAAGGATTGAGTGAATACCAAAGGAGAGCTAGCCGGCTGCATACAGGCCCCTCCCCTGCTGCCAGAGGTGGGGAGGCAGGTGTGTAACAGCCAGCACCAGAAGGTAAGGGGAAATTTCAGCCCAGAGACTGGCATCCTCCACCAAACTATGAGCAGGCTCCCAGTTGCTAACCAAGTCTTCCTGGGATCCTGGATGGTTGACATCTGCCAGGAGGGTCGAAACCTGAGATCAGTTCCCCAGAGGAGACACACGGCACACCAGAGACGGTGCTTTAGCGGTGCACCCAGGAAACCGAGCAGCCAGGACCAGAGACTTGATTAAGATGCAGGGCCCACCTGGAACAGTGTGCTCACACAGCCCCTGGTTGCCTGATCTAGTTGGACCTGGGAAGGGGACAAAATGCACACCCAGTCTGTGCCCTTGTGGAGTACCCAAGAACCTGAACCTAAGGAGCTTAGACCTGGGAAATGCACAAAACGCTGGGCCCACTTCAGACAGAACCCCTGCAGAGAAACCTGGAACCTGAGCAGTGTAGACCTGGAAAGCAAATGCCGCCATGAGCTGGGGCAAACCCAGTATGGACCATATACTGTGAGCACTCTCCACACATGCCAGTGATATTTCTTTGCAGGGCCCCTCCCTCCCCACAACGCAACTGAACAAGTGAGTCTAAATAAGTGACCACCTAAATAAGTGACCTTGTGTCAGGGCAGAAATTACACACTGAAAAGGCTTGCAAACAGAGGAAGCCAAAACAAAGAAGAGGGAACCACTCCACAAGTGACAGGTTCAACAGATTAAAACCCTGTCCTTAACGTTGACTAAGCATGGGAAGGGGCTTATAGACCTTGAGAAGAAGTCAAGCTGCAACAAGGAACTATCTGAAACTGAACTGACCCCACACTGCCCACAACAAACAACTCCAGAGAAATTCCTAGATATATTTTTACTATAATCATTTTTAAATTTTTAAGTTCTTTATTACTCCTTTAATTTTCATTTTTATAACCTACTATTACATTGCAAAAAAGACCCTATTTTTAAAGCAAATTTCATATATTTTCTTTTATAATTTTTTATTGATTTTGTTTTGTATTTTTAATATTGTATTTTTGAGAGTCTAACCTCTACTATAGATTTTTAGTCTTTGCTTTTTTGTATTTCTTCTCAATTTTGTACCTTTAAGAATCCAATCTTCAGTATCCATTTTCACTTAGGGGTGTGATTACCGACTTGATTGCTCTATCCCCTTTTGATGCTCCCGTTTCTGTGCCAGGTCACCTCTATCTCCTCCCTTCCCGTTATCTTCTCTACTTAACTCTTTGAATCTGTTTCTACTCTTTTGACACCCCCTCTCTCCTCCTCTATCTCCCTTCTCCCTCTTCTCATCTCTGTGTAACTCTGTGAACCTCTATGGGTGTACCTCACTGTGGAGAATATTTTCACCATTAACAAAGATGTTTTGTCATCTGTGCTGTATGAATGGAGAAGTCTTGAGGCTATTGTAAGAATAAGACTGAAAGACAGAAGCAACAGGCTTAAATCCAAAACTTGAGAACACCAGAAAACTCCTGATTCCCGGGAACATTAATCAACAAGAGCTCATCCAAAAGCCTCCACAACTACATTGAAACCAAGCACCACCCAAGAGCCAACAAGTTCCAGAGCAAGACATACCATGCTAATTCTCCAGCAACAAAGGAACACAGCACTGAGCATTAAAATACAGGCTGCCCAAAGCCATGCCAAACACATAGACACCCAAAAACTCAGTACTGGACACTTCTTTGCACTCCAGAGAGAAGAGATCCAGCTCCACCCACCAGAACACAGACACAAGCTTCCCTAACCAGGAAACCTTGACAAGACACTAGTCTTACCCCACCCACAGGGAACAAGTCCCACAATAAAGAGGAACCACAAACTTCCAGCCTACAGAAAGGCCATCCCAAACAAGGAAATCTAAACAAGGTGAAAAGTCATAGAAATATTCAACAAGTAAAGAAACATGATAAATGCCCACAACCAAAAAGATAAAGAGGAAATAAGGAGTTTACATGAAAAAAAAAAATTGAGAATTGATAGCAAAAGTGATTCGAAACCTTGAAACCAAAGTGGAGACACAGATAAATAGTAGAGACAAGGATTCAGAAGATGCAAGAAATGTTTAACAAGGACCAAGAAGAAATTAATAAAAGAGTCAATCAATAAAAAATAATGTAAAAACTGAGACCAAAAGCACTCTGGAGGCAACCAACAGTAGAATAACTGAGGCAGAAGACAGGATTAGTGAGGTGGAAGGTAGAATGGTGTAAATAAATGAAGCAGAGAGGAAAAACGAATTAAAAAACATGAGGACAACCTCAGACACCTATGGGACAATGTTAAATGCTCCAACATTCGAAACATAGGAGTCCCAGAAGAAGAAGACAAAAAGAAAGAGCATGAAAAAATACTTGAGGAGATAATAGTTGAAAACTTGCCTAAAATGGGGAAGGAAAGAGCCACCCAAGTCCAGGAAACCCAGAGAGTCCCAAACAGGCTAAACCCAAGGCAAAGCATCCCAAGACAGATATTAATCAAATTAACAAAGATCAAACACAAAGAGCAAATATTAAAAGCAGCAAGGGAAAAGCAACAAATAACACACAAGGGGATCCCCGTAAGGATAACAGCTGATCTTTCAATAAAAACCCTTCAGGCCAGAGGGGAATGCCAGGACATACTTAAAGTCATGAAAGAGATAAACCTACAACCCAGATTACTACAGCCAATGAGGATCTCATTAAAAAGCAAAGGAGAAATCAAAAGCTTTACAGACAAGCAAAAGCTGAGAGGATTCAGCACCACCAAACCAGCTCTTCAACAAATGCTAAAGGATCTTCTCTAGACAGGAAACACAGAAAAGGTGTATAAACTAGAACCCAATGCCATTTACTAGAAGTAAATGGCAATCAGATCATACCTATCAAAAATTACCTTAAATGTAAATGGGTTGAATGCCCCAACCAAAAGACAAAGGCTGGCTGAATGGATACAAAAACAAGACACCTATATATGCTGTCTACAAGAGACCCACCTCAAACCAAGGGACACATAGAGACTGAAAGTGAAGCGCTGGAAAATGATATTTAACACAAATGGAGACCAAAAGAAAGAAGGAGTAGCAATACTCATATCAGATAAAATAGACTTTGAAATAAAGGCCATGAAAAGAGACAAAGAAGTAAACTACATAATGATCAAAGGATCAAACCAAGAAGAAGATATAACAATTATAAATATATTTCAGGGGAGAGCTAAGATGGCAGAGGAATAGGATGGGGAGACCACTTTCTCCCCTACAAATTCATCAAAAGAACATTTGAATGCTGAGCAAACTTCACAAAACAGCTTCTGACCACTAGCAGAAGACATCAGGCGCCCAGAAAAGCAGCCCATCATCTTCAAAAGGAGGTAGGACAAAATATAAAAGATAAAAAGAGAGACAAAATAGCTAGGGACAGAGACCTATCCAGGGAAGAGAGTCGTAATAGAGGAAGTTTCCAAACACCAGGAAACCCTCACACTGGCGGGTCTGGGGGAAGTTTTCAAATCTTGGAGGGCAACCTAACTGGGAGGAAAAATAAATAAAACCCACAGATTACATGCCTAAAAGCAATTCCCAGCAGAAAAGTACTCCAGACACCCACATCCGCCACCAGCAAGTTGGGTCAGAATGGAGAGGAGCGGGTGGCATTGCTTAGGGTAAGGACCGGGCTCGAATGCCCTGAGGGCAATTGGAGGGAGCTAACATGAGATAGCAACTTAAACTGTGGGATAGCAAGAGAGAGAAAATTAACTGGCCGGAACACACTGCCGGCCGTTCGCAGAACAAAGGGACTGAGCAATTCCAGAGAAGAGCTAGTCAGCTGCAGACTGGACCATCGCCCGCCAGAGGCAGGAAGCAGGGGGGAGGGGAAAGGGGTAAACTCGGCCCCAGAGACAGCACCCCTACCAAACTGCAAAAAGGCTCCCAGTTTCTAACCAAAGACTTCCTGATACTCTGGATGGTCAACTTCCACCAGGAGGGTCGCGGCTAGAGGCCAGCTCCCGAGAACAGACACAAGGTGCACGCACCCAACTGGCGCACGTGGACACTGAGGCTGGGACCATGGAGGGGATAAGGTGCACCGCACCCAGGGAGAGTGTGCCCGTCAAGCTCCTGGTTGCCTGAGCTGCTCGGGCAGGGGAAGGCACAAAACGCAGGCCCAACTGAGTCCGCACTTTTGTGGAATACCTGAAAACTGGAACCGCATGCAATGCAGGGCCCACTCCATATAGAGCAGGCGGGAGCCTGAGCAGTGTAGACGGGGAAAGCACACACCCGTGAGTGAGGGCAAACCCAGTGTGGCCGGAACACTGCGAGTGCTCCCCACACAGACCTGTGACATTTGTCTGCAGAGCCCCTCCCTCCCCGCAGCACGACTGAACAAGCAAACGTGAACAAGAGACTACCTCCACCCGCCTGTGTCAGTGTGGAAATTAGACATTGAAGAGACCGGCAAACAGAAGCCAAATAAACAAAGGGAACCGCTTCAGAAGTGACCAGTGCAACAGATTAAAATCCCTGTAGGTAACACCGACTACACTGAAAGGGGCCTATAGATATCAAGAAGTGTAAGCTGGAATGAGGAGCTATCTGAAACTAGACGGAACCCACACTGACCGCAATAGCTCCAGAGAAATTCCTAGATATATTTTTACTTTATTTTTTTTAATATTTTTTTCTTTTTTCTTTTTTTAATTTTTTCTTTTATTTTCTTTTAAAATTCCCCATTACTCCTCCACTACCCCTTAACTTTCATTTTCATTTTCATATATTTTTACTATTTTTTTAATTAGAATTTTTTTTCTTTTTTTAACTTTTTCTCTTATATTCTTTTAAAGTCCTCTATTGCTCCTTAATTTTCATTTTCATTTCACTATAACATTGCCAAAAAAAAAAAGAGGCCCTATTTTTAAACCAAACTTCATATATATTTCTAAAATATTTTTGTGTTTTTGTTTTGAATATTGTATTTTTAAGAGTCTAACCTCTACTCTAGATTTTTAGTCTTTGTTTTTCAGTATTTAATATCAATATTGGACATTTAAGAATCCAAACTTCAGTGCCCATTTTTACTCAGGAGTGTGTTGATTACTCTCTCCCACTTTTGACTCTCCTTTTTCTCCCCCAGATCACCTCTATATCCTCCCTACCCCTTCTCTCCCTAATCCAATTATGTGAATCTCTGTGGTTGTCTGGGCTATGGAGAACACGTTGAGAACAGAGAACTGTGAAGATCTGTCTCTCTCCTATTGAGTCCCCCTTTTTCTCCTCCTGCTCATCTCTATCTCCCTCCTCCATCTCCTCTTCTTCATGTAACTCTGTGAACCTCTCTGGGTGTCCCTCACAGTGGAGAATCTTTTCACCATTAACCTAGAAGTTTTATTATCAGTGCTGTATAGTTGGAGAAGTCTTGAGACTACTGGAAGAATAAAACTGAAATCCAGAGGCAGGAGACTTAAGCCCCAAACCTGAGAACACCAGAAAACTCTTGACTACAAGG